TGATGTACAGTTTCTCCTCTGCTAACCTCTAAAAGAACATTGGTTACACATAAAAGTGACTCAGAGAGCATAAATCTTTCGTTGGTCTATGACATGCTTGAGAATCATAGATATTATACGTGACTCCCAGGGCAGCCCTTCTGCTCAGAACAGGATTAGCTCTTAGTAAATTTCATGAGGTTTTGCCTAAATAGGGATTCTACCCCAACCTGAGTTGTTGCCTTGATCTCTCACTGCTCATCATCTAGAATAGCCCTAAGTCTATGTTTTCTTTGGTTCATACTGCTTGTGTCTAGAATTTATACTTTCCTGACTTCAGTATGATTCAGGTAAAAAATTTCCTTCAACTCAGTTGTAATTTTAAAATTTTGGAGTTACTGTTGACAGTAAGAATTCGTGTAGAACGAATGCAAAGATAAATGCACCAAGATATTTAGTCATGTCCATACCTATACAGTGACAAAGCAGGAATCCTCTGAGACTTTGGACATGTCAAGGGCTAAGCCTGAATGTGGGATTTCATACATGTCTCAGATGTCTGCAAATCCCAGCTGTGAAGAGAATTTAGTCACGTGATTGTGTTTTAAAATAAATAATGGAGTTAGATTAATACTAACAAGTGAAATGGAATTTAATTGCTTACATCTGCTAAGTAGCCTGTTTTTACATTGTTTTGTTTTCATATATCTATCTAATATTGAGTGAGAAGTTAAATCTTGAAAATCATGTATAAATCAAGAGTTTGCGAACATATTCTAAATACAGTTGTAAGCATGGTTGCATTGTAACATTTGAATAAGATCATTACTTCAAGGTAATATGATTTACATATGTAGATTTTCAAATCCTAACACAACCAGGCTTTGGTCTGTTGTTCCATGTAACATGAACCAAAGTTTCCTATGACTTGGAGGTGAATTGTAAATTTAGCTGTTCTAGTTTAGGTTTGAGTTGTTATGCAGAAACTTTTAGGAACACTATCACTTTTTAAAGAACATAAAAGGCATAAAAACCGCAATATAATCCAACATTCTTTGAACCCCTTAGTGTCTGATCTCCTTTTGTGGATAGTCTGTGATGCATTCAGAATGTACATCACAAAGAAATAGTTCACAACTCTTTAGTCTTACAGGTATCTCCAGGCTGCACCTGAAAGCACATTAAGGTACTGTGAGATCTCTAGCCCACTCAAGGCTTTTTTTCTTCTAAATTATATTTTTAGAGAGAATCTATGTCTACTTTCCCATTCTCTGCTCTCTAGTGATTTTCACATGCTTTCTCATCAGAGCCATCAAGTACATCAGGGCATCGTAAGATACAGGTCAGCATGGAAAGGTTGTGCTTGATGAAAAAGCACAGGGTATGACTTTGTGTCAGGCCACATGGCCATCATCCACAGACTACAGTTTAGGAAGCAGTGATTCAGAGAACGTTTTTTTTTTTTTGTGACTATATTGACCTTGGGAGTAGTGTTTATGAGACATGGGGTGGACAGGTGTGTATTTTCATTGGCCTGTGAGCCCCAGAGAGATTTTAGTGTGTGGTCATCTGCAAATTTGAATATTTATACAGAACACTGAGGGGAAAAAAACCTCAACGACTATATGTGAAACAGAAATAGGTTACATTCCCTGAAACTCCTTTAATCTCCTTTCAGAAAATAAGGATACAAAGATGGATCAGGTCTAGGATCCTATTTATAACAATGGCAACTGGAAGAAACAAGCAGATGATGTAGTTGCATGCAGGAATGGATTGATAATGCTTTATATTAAAACAATGGGTACAAGTAAGAATGTAAGAGTAATTTACCTCTAAATTTTCTCCACCGTGTTTTGATGAGTCTGCAGTGGTTGTCTTAAATTGCCATTTAGCTTTCTAACCCATTCTTTGCCTCCTCCTTTGTGTCAAGCACACCAGAGAAATTTTGTCTTAGTGTCTGGGCAACTGTAAATGAGCCCTGTTAATACATTTTGTAGTGAGTGAACAACCAACCAGCCATGCCTCATTCCCCCTAGAATATCAAATGTATACTCAGTGCATCACAAATCTATGGCTGTAGGAAAATGACTTGGTTGTAATGGTGGTGTTTGATTTCTGCCCTTAGATGCCTAGTATTTGATCAGAGTTGTCCACAGGTGTATAGAGTACGTCTGACTTGATTATAACACATTACCTTCCAGGAATCAGAAGTGATGAAGCAGAGGAGTTATCACTGTGGAGTGTTTTTAAAGCTCTTAGCTTGGACTTTCAGAGCAGAAATCAACATCAGCTCTGTGCTTAGGCTAGATGCACATTGACACAAGCATATGTGCTCCTTGGTGGTAGTTGAGAGTATTGAAAATCAAGTGATTTGGAAGAAACTTCCTAAGGCTGCTTAGTCCAACCACCTGCTCAGACCAGGTGCAGTTTGAGGAGGCAACTCAGGATCATGCATAGTTCAGTTTTTGATATCTACAATAATGGAGATTTCACAGCTTTTCTAGGTCCTTTCTAGTGTTTGAGCACTCTCGAAGTGAAGCATTTTCTTCATATACAATCAGAATTTCCAGTGTTCTAACCGTGTCAGTTGTATTCTGACTTTCTTCTGCACATGTCTGAGGTAAATTTAGTGCTGTCTTCTCTATGCTTTCACATCAGGAAGTTGCAAAGATTAACAAGGCTTCCTCTGAGCCCTTTCTCCTTGTAGCTGAACAAAGCCAGCTCTTCCAGCCTCTCCATCCATAAACATCACTTACCCCAGCACCTTGAGTGCTTTGGTAGCTGTTTGCAGAATGCACCCCAGTATGGTGAAGCTATTTTTGTACTGGAGTCATCAGTACTGAGCAGAGGACTCCAGATGTAATCTACCAAGTTGTCCCTCAGAGAGAGGAAGAATTGCTTTCCCTGGCTTGCTGGTTGCATTCTTGCTAATACTGCCCAGGATGCAGTTGCTTTCTTTACTGAAATGCTGTCTTGCGTTCAGCTTGTCTTTTGGGACCCCCGGGTCCTTCTATTTGTCAATAGCTTACAGGCTGGTTTGGCCCAGTTCTGTGACTAGTAGAGCAGGGGGATCCATGGACTCACACCCTAGGAAAGGAAAAAGGAGAAAAAAAGGGAAAAGGAAAAAGGAGAAAAAAAAGGGAAAAGGATAGAGAGATGGGCCTAAAAACAAGACAACAATCTGAGAAGAAACAAACTAATTTACTAAATAGGATATCGGAGTGCATGATAACACACTATAATACAATACAATTAGAATTGAAGCTAATATATCAAGTAAAATGAGAGAGAATGTCCAAACCAGCCTGTAAACAGTTGACACTCTGAAAAGCTGCTTTTGAGCCAGTTGGCTCCCTACCTGTGCTGTTGCAAGGAGTAATTTGTCTTACTGTTTGCTTAAAGGGACATATATATATGTATATAGACACATAGTATGCTTCCATAAGTACACATACACATTACTGCTGCCTTCAAAATGCCCAGATTTTTTAATGAGTTCATTCTGTGATACCCTCAGTAGAGATTACAGAAGTATGTTTCTAAAGCAAACCTATCACTTAGAGGATGATGTATGTTCTTGTAACACTGTGCTGTTTTGTCACTACTGTTTCATGCTGCAAGGGCACAGATTTCACCATGCAGTTATTTTTCAAGGAAGGCAATGACAAGTATTTTCCCTTCAGTCTTGTAGTGACAGATTCTGGCTAATCTGCATTAGGATTACTAAATGAGACAAGATGAAGCAGAAAAACACTACTACTATCAGTGGCAACACCACCAACACTTGCCTTATGTAATGGATTGTAAGAAACAATGGCTTCACGGCTTGTGCTGTGCAGTTATTCATGCTCAGAATCCCTTTCACAGCTGAGAGTCAGAAAGCATATGGAGGGGGTTGGAGGGTGAAGGAGAGGGGTCTGTAGATCTGTGTAGACTTCTTTGCAAGAGCAGTTTTCCCCCAGACTGCACTGGTAGAGACTACAGCTAGCCTGGCTGCTCCTGGAAGCTTTACCATCGCAGTTCTGCACTTTTGCCCTAATAGACAAAATCAGGGTATATAGCTGACTTGAGTCACAGCAGTACAATGTGGAGGAACTTATTCTAAATGACTATGGAAGCCCAGATAGACTTCCAGCTCACACTAATGATATTATGGTGATCAAATGCTGCCTCAAATTGCTAAGAAATGAATTCAGTGGTTTTCCCTACTATACACAAATGAATTTTTTTTTTTTTTTTAATGAGAAAATATTTCATGCTATGTAAAATTCTCTGTGTTTATTTTTGCTGTATTGGAAGTATGTATTCTAAAGATTCTCTGGATAGGGTGATCAGACAGGCAAAATTCTGGGATGTGTTTAGCAGCAATATCATTTCTTAGAGCTGTCAACAAATGTATTTTGTGTGGTCTTTCCTTGTCCTTGGAAAGAAGGAAACTACAGTACACTTTGTGTGGCTTTCTTGCCTGTTTGATCTCTCATTCAGTTGAAAGAAAGCAGCAGTTCTATCAGGGTGTCTATTCTGATGTCCCTCAGATTGCCTAGCAGATAGGTTAGGATAAGTCTAGACAAGTTTTGCTATCAATCTAAATATTAATCTTTGTGGTACTTTGGTTCCTTTTGAAACAATGCTTAGCTGTTAGTCATGCTGTTATTAGCGTAGTTTTCCATCACTCTTAATTTAAGGATGTAAAATGTCTTATAAGAGAGTCTTCAAACATCATAGGCTCTGCCACATACTTCTGAATGGTCCCTATGGTGACAATGCTGCAATGAGACTGCAAACACAGCACTGAAATTTATGGGTACCGAGGACCCTGCTGTTAATTCTCTTGATAGCCATATTGAAATAGGAGCCATACAGACATTAGCATGTCATGATATATGGCAGTACGGAACGTTAACAGTGCTGTGGGGATTTCTCGGAAATTTCATAGCAATCTTAAATCTCTTCTTGGATAACTGCTAAATAGTTCTTCTGTTTCCCCCCTCCTTTTTTTTTTTTTTTTTTCTTAATAGCGCGAGATGAGAACATGGCCACTTTCCGTGGTTCCGAATATCTTTGCTATGACCTGTCTCAAAACCCCATCCAGAGCAGCAGCGATGAGATCACTCTCTCCTTCAAGACATGGCAACGCAACGGGCTCATTCTGCACACCGGCAAGTCTGCTGACTATGTCAACCTGGCCCTGAAGGATGGTGCGGTCTCACTGGTCATTAACCTGGGGTCTGGGGCCTTCGAGGCCATTGTGGAGCCTGTCAATGGCAAATTCAATGACAACGCATGGCATGACGTTAAGGTGACGCGCAACTTGCGGCAGGTAATGTTGAAGGAGAGAAAATGCTGGGGAAAACTTTGTTCTCTTATATTTGCACAGAGGTGGATATGAGGGAGAAATGGGGATGCTTGGCGGGCTCACTAGAGTTTCTTCTTTTCTAGTTATTGGTATGATGATGGTGGATGATTTAAAAAAAAAAAAAAGTTAATGGGAATTTATCCCTGTTGCAATATATTCACTTTCACTTTATTAATTTTCCGTTTTTCTCAGTTTGATTTAATAATAAAATCTTGTGCATGACCTTACTTTCATCTCTCTTTTCTTTCCTCTATTTTTGTTCTGCCATTTTTTATTTTATTATTTATTTAATTATGATTCAATTTTATCAGCAATATTCTTGTTGCATTTAATTACTGTGGGAATTGAATATTTTTCCAGCAACCAATGCTTTACACTCTTCTCCTTTTTCTTTAGTTTTGTTAATTTGTCTAACCATTGCCATAATGTCACAACTCTAATTCTCAAAATCTTTTTTTTTCATTTACTTTCTTTTTTTCCTTTTTGTGTGTATGCAAGTGTGCAGGTATGCAGGTTGGTGGGTACGTGTGTAATAATTTTAAATTTGTAGCTTTGGAATTAATTGGCTGGAGTTTTTCTGAGTCTTCTTGATTCTCTGTTCTTTTCTTCTAACTTTTCCCCTTCTTTCTGTAATGAGATTCTACTTTATTTCTTAAGTCTCTGCCTATGAGACTCTTCTGTTGGCTGTGAGGACTGGAAAAGTGGAAGGATCAGAAAAGCCAAGCAAACCCAGACCAATCCAACACCCTACAATTCCACTTTGGAAAAGTTTTTTCTGATTTTGCCACTGTAATTTTGCACATCTGCATGCTGCCTTTCTAAGCAGACAACTCTATCAGGTGACGTATTTGGTATTAGGCCAACTTAAAATTCTGAAGCCTTCTTCATGAAATATAAATTCGGACATATATAGATAAGATAAAATTAAATAACCTTGCTCTGAAAGCTGGTGAATATCTCAAGTCACTAAGGCCCATCTGCCACATGATAGATGAAGTTTACTCTCTAGATTTGAGCTACTTGATATCATACTGATTGGTAGAGATGTCAGAAATGGCATGTAAACTGAGATTGTAAAAACAACTTGTGACAACAATTTGATTTATTTATTTGCTCATTTAAGTGGATATTAATGCAAAATTTAGGAGTTTTATCCAAGTTTATACAACAACTTTTGGTGAGAAAACATCTTTTTTGGTAAAAATTTACAATAGCTAAAACAAAACATATCAGCAGATACAGGCTTACCAGTGTCAGGGATCAGAAGCAGTTTCTACCAATAGATTTCAGTTAGTGATTTCTGTTTGAGCAATTTCACATCAAATATTTGCTTTGGGGGGTGAAGGTCTTTCCCATGTGAATTCTTGTATTTCTACATGTTCGTGATGTTTTGATCATCATCAAACTTCCATGAGACTGCAGGGTTTTTGCTAGTGGCATCATTAGTCTATTTTTACCAGATTATACACAAATGCAAATTTAATTTCTAATGTGTTGGACGGGTCTTAATGATCCTATTTCGTGCAGATGTTCCCATCAGGCTAGTAGAGGGTGATGCACCAACTGTTTGAGGTCAGCCACTCCAGAAATGCCAGAAGTACTGCTTTATTTGATGTGTGTCATATTTTCAGAAATTCACATGTAAATTTGCAGTGCAATACAGGCCACTTGGAAGTTCTGTTTTCAACTGTGAACATGTTGCATAAAAATAAATAAAAAACACCATCCAAGAATTGACCCTAAATATTGAGGCTAAATCTTTAAAATGAAGTAGAGATTCCAACAATGTGATCCAAAGTTAAAACAATTCCAGATAAATTGATTATCAGGAACTTTAAGATATCAATCTTATCCTGTGCTCTTTCTGGAGAGGAGATGAAGGAGGATTTGCATAATTTTTTGGCTTTTCCTGGAATTGGAGCAGAACTTTAAATAGCTGGACTTTTGCCCAGTACGTTTTGGAATTGTTAAATGCTTTGTAGCTAAGTGCTTCCTTTTTTATTTTATTTAATTTTTTAAGATCAAATGACTATCACAGCAGTTAATCTCCTTAGAGACAGATCATGTGAATCCACAGATTCCCTTGAGTAGTGATTGTTAATGTCAAAACAAATCTCCTTATTTATTTGTCTTATTATTTCAGTTAAAACTAAGCCCAGATTCTGCCTTGTGTGAAACCTTTACTGGAAATAGGATCATGGGTGTATTTTACCAGGACTTTCACAGCATGTTTCCCCACCACACCATGCTAAATTCCAACTTTCTTGTTTGTAAAAATGGATTTACTTGCACAGTAATGTCAGTGCACAGCCCTTCAAAATTTGCAGGGTGGTTTTTACCTGAGGCAGCATAGATCTCACTTGTGAAACAGGATAATCTTGCCAACTTTGATCACAGTGGGACAGGAAGTTGGAGCCCGCACTTCTGTGCTAGCACTGAAGCTAGTCACCATGCAAAATCTGCCATAAAGATTTTGAGTTCCTCAGCTACTAAAAAGCAAGCAAGAAACAATATGCAGATTCAAACAGTTGGAATCTGCATTCTGTGGGAAGTAAAAAGCCATCCATATAGCTCTATTAAACTCAGATAAAGAACTAAACTGTGAGTTCCCCTTGCTCTGTAATATAGATGCAATATAACAAGAGAGACATTAAATACAGTCTTCTGTTTTCTCTCATTCAAATGACACAATTCTTCCTACACAATTCTTCAATATATTTCTTCCTTACTGTAGGAGTTTCAACTCCTGTATGCTCAGATGGCATGAACACCCCAGCACATTCCTTTTTGTACGCTTCTCCTGAAACTCACGTATTTACCTGCTGTAAAGAAACCTGCAGATTCTGAAACTTCTAAGGATAGGTTCAGAGTTTTGTACTCTTCTTCAGCTGTATTCTCCAGCCAAAGAAATACTGGCCTGCCAGTGATACTTTGCAGTGCTTAAGGGTAGCGAGGCTTGAAAGACAAGCAGGAATATAGGGATGATGGTAGGTGAAAGAAAGGAATCATGGTTGGATTTGCGCTGAAGGGACAAACTGGTGTGTATGTTTCTGAGCATAAGGTTTTTGCTTGGGGGAAGCACCTTGATGGACATTTGAAGGGTAAGTATTGCACTGTTTTAAATTTGCTTCAGTCCTGGATAATGTGTATGAGGATTGAAGTTAATGACTAATACTGGGGTGGGAAGACTAGGCAGCACCCTTCTTCTTTACAGAGTAGATGGCATGGCTCCCCATAGAGTCCTGGTCATATTGTCCTCTCTCACTTTGTGTGTGTCAGGCGCCCCACGCCTTTTTTTGGAAAACTAACACTAGACCATTCATGCAATGTGTCATTTTTACTAACCAACTAATGTACTAACACCCTAACGACTCATCTTTGCTTTTAGTTATTTTAATTAACAATCGTTCTGTTCACGATTTTTTAATTTCCTTTCTTCCCCCTTTTCCGCAAAGCACTCAGGCATTGGACACGCTATGGTAAACAAACTACATTGTCTGGTAGATATCATTCTTATTGTCTCTTTTTTTGGGTTTGCCGTGTGTTACCTGCCTTTTCCTTCCCCTACTCCCTCTTTTTCCCCCCTCCTTTATACTTACTTCTTCCTTTAATTTTATTTTAGTTTCATCAAAAACACATTTATCTTTTTGTCTTTTTCTTTTTCTTTTTTTTTTTAAAAAAAAATGGAAAATATGAAGAGCAAAAGCAGTGAACACAGCTGTTCTGGAAATGGGGTTTGGAATTTCTTTCATTGGTTTCCTCACCTCCCTCTTTAGTTGTTTTGTATTCCAGCGATCTTTTTTTTTTTTTTTTTTCTTTCTTTTTAAATTATTTTTTTCCTTCCCTTTTGATTTTTTAATTTTTTTTTTTTTTTTTTAACTCCGAAGGTTTTTAGATCAGAACCATTGCAGGGCCTCTAGTCTGTGGTGGTGAAGGCTCTCTTTTTCTCTCATCCTTTTGTTGTGGCAACAGCTGTTATAGGCAAACTGGCCAGAGTTGTCCTCTTTCTCCCAGCGTTCCCCACTTCCCTCCCTCCTCTCTCTCTCCTCCCCTTCTCTCTCACTTTCTCTCTCTCTGACTTTCCACCTGCCGTGGCCAAAAGGAGCTCAGCCGGCTGTTTGTTTCAGTACACACTCTGCATGGCATGTCCACGTCTGGTGACTCGCCCGTCTCCCACCAGCCTTAATCTATTTTCCTCCATCTTCCCTTCAAACCACTAACAACATCTACGCAAAACACATCGAGTTCACTTGCTACTCTCCCTCCCCCTCCTTCCAGTTCCCTTCACCCTCCATGTGTTTGGGGTTAGAGATTTTGGATCCTTCCCAGTTTGTTTTTGAGTTGTTTTTTTTTTCATTATCTTGGAGTTTGTTTGGTATTTTTATTTTTGATTGCATGCACGTGTGAAATAGTTTTCTTTTCTCTCTTGCTCTCTTTGCTTTCTTTCTTTCCCTCTCAACTTTCTGGGCTCCAGGTATAATGGCATGATGTGTCAGAGCGCAGTGTGTGCACGCTTTGTGTTTTTTTTCCACCTCATCTCTGCTTCTCTCTCTTTCTCTTGTTAGTGTGTGGTTTGAATTATTTTATTTTCATTTATTTTGATTTCTTCTGATTTATGTTTTGGTTGAGTTAATTTATGAAATACCATTTTTATTAAATTTATTTTTGGGTGGGTGGTGGGTGTGTATGTCCCTAGGTACATGGCATGCACATCCATAATGTATTGAAAGTGAGATCCCTTTCCCACCCCTCCCTGAATGCATGATTGTCAGTGTGCTGTGAGCAAAAGAAACATAAAAAATAAAAAATACCAACTTCGTCTTCATTAGTGTTTTTTTTTTTTTAAACTAACAACCATAACTAACTGTAATCATTAAAATAAAAACTAATTAATCATAAAATCAGCTAATATGAGAAATCTACAAGGAAAATTCCATTTTCTGGCCTGTGTAAATGGAAATCATTTCAGTGTGTAGAGTGCTGGTTCAGCCTGAAAGTGTGGATACACTAGAAAGGGAAGAAGCAGATGCTGAAGAATTTCCATTGTGGTTGAAGCAGACCAGAAAATGGAGCTTGGCTGAACTAAAAAAAAAACCAACAAACCAAAAAAAAACCAAAACAACAAACAAACCAAATCTCAACAAAATCCTTAATAAAACTGACATAAAAATATAAGGGAGGTGACTCATTCTTCTCAGGACCGTAAGGTCATTGCTGGGGTTTTCTTTGTTGTGTCCCTTGAACAGGTGACCATCTCTGTGGATGGCATCCTTACCACCACGGGTTACACACAGGAAGACTACACCATGCTGGGCTCGGATGACTTCTTCTATGTGGGAGGGAGCCCCAGTACTGCTGATTTACCTGGCTCTCCAGTAAGCAACAACTTCATGGGCTGCCTCAAAGAGGTAGGGGATTCAGATTAACTACTGTTTCATTGCTTTTGGTTTCTCAAAATCATAGCTTTTTCCTGCCTGCTATTACATACTCAGTGTCTTTCCCTCATGATGAATTTTACACTAATACTACAGCAGCGCTGTAAGGATAAACTTGATATTCACCTGGGCAGAAGACATCAGCCATGAAAGTCATGAGCTTATTGTCATTATCAGACTTCTGGTTCTTGAATTACAAAGATTATACCAGAGGTGTAGTATGCGAAGTGCCTTCTGTAGGCTGTCAGTCATTTAAGGTAAGTGTTTTAATCCTCTGGATAGACTCCTTAAAGAGTGTGGCTGAGTGAGTCCAATTCTACATGCACCCAAGAGGGTTATCATAATATCCTGGTATGAACATGTATATCAGAGAGATGGCAGAGCTGGGTTTTCATGCCAGATTCAGGCAAACTGTGATGCTGAGCTAGATGTTGTTCTAGGGCTGTATAGCTGCCTGACAAATTACTGTCCTACAGATGCTTGACTTGTGATGTCAGGGATTTTGTCTTATGTGCAGTCTGTTGATGTGAGCAATGACTGTTGGTCTGGTGCTGCTGTCCTGCTTGACCTCTAGATTTGTTAAGGGGGTGCATGTATGCTGGAAATGAGTATGTGAGTATCTTACAGAAGAAATGAAACTGTCTTACTGAATACAAAATATCATGCAGAGATCAAATCCTTCTGTTTTCATCCACAGAGCCTTGGGCCTGATTTTCCTAGGCACTGAGCATCCCAGTTTGATTGAAATCAAGAGGAGATGCAGCTTCTTAGTGTCTCTTTAAATCAGGATCTTAATTTTATTTATGGATGCTGTGAACATAACACTTAGCAGAGGCCATTTTTATGTGTGCTTTAAGTCAAGCCAATGGAGCAGAGAAAGCAGTGACAAGAAAATCTTCAGCAGCTTTATTATTTATATAATCATTTGTATTCTATTAGCTCGTGCAATGTGCTAAGAGCTGCTTATATTGCCATCCCAGTCTTACAAAGCTCTGTGTGAAGACAAACCAAGCAGAATAAGAGGAAAAGGAAGAATTCAGATAATCAGAAAGTACTTTGTCATTGTCACCTGCCTTGGTTGTGACAGGAGATGTGGATGAGGTGCTGTCTAGACTCAAAGACAGACTAGTGCTGGCTGGGCTTGAGTTACAGTCTGCATAATAGCAACCTGCTCTTAGCAGTGGCCCACTGACACTTTCAGGTGCTTTAAAAATATGTGCAAAATGTACATTACCTGGCTTCTAAGGAGAAATTTGGTATAGGTTACTCATCAAGCGTAAGTGTAGCACAGAGCTGTAGGGAGAATACACTTGGAAATTGAATAAATGGAAAAATGTAACATTTCAAAAACGAGCCATGTTGTAATTAGTACTTTGTATTTCTAGCCCATGATTCCTACAGATCCCTTAGGCCCCAGAATGAGTTAGCACTGGTACCTGCAGGAAGCATAAGGAAACTGACAATTGTGCTTTTCCGCAGTTCTCATTTGGTAAAAGGAGGTGATGTGGAGCTGCAATTGGAGAAGGAGAGGACTAAGTGACTTTCAGTGTCCTGGCAAAACCTAGAAATGTATCTATAACACTGATACCTATGAGGGGCAGGGTCTGACCAAACAGCCAGCCTGTATAGGCTGAGAAGGATTCTCACTGCATAAGCAGTGAATTATCCTCAGTCATCAAAGAAGTGTCTGCTTTCATTAGGTGGAGCTTGGGATGAATTGAGCAGAGCAGTTTGCCTTGTGAAATTCCTCCTGGGATTGATTTTTTTTCTCTTTTGCTAAGGAAGAAAATACTGCCAAAGGTAGCAGGATCAGTGTGAGATCCACCAGAAATAGAGGGCAGTACTTTTGAGTCTTTTCTATGTTTAGTCCTGAAATGTCAAGATATGTCAGCATGGTATGAATGAAATTGCTGAGCTGGCTCCTAGAAAGCAAGAATGCCTTTAGGGATCAGCATGACCCCTGGGAGCAGCTTTCTTTCATCCCACAGAGCAGAACTAGTGTGGTGCTTACATGCCTGTCACGTTTCTGGTTCCACAGTTGGCTTTACTGGGGAACTTATTTGGCTCTCTGCATGGTAGGCACTATATTTATAAACCTATCTCTATAGCTTATTTTCTCTACATCTGGGAAGAATACTTCATGCCTCATTAATCAATACGGGAGGAACTTGAACTATTTAGAAAAAGTTCTAAGTTCATGAAATTGGATGAAGGGAGAATATAGACCACAACAACAAATATTGTTCCTGGGGGCATCTTGTTTCCCTAGGAAGGCAAAGGAATTGATATAGGCTTTAGAATGAGACTTTATTTTACCCTATAACTTCACATATTTCATCTAGACTGTGTCAGCCTCATAGCACAGCAACCACAGCTAAGAACCATACTGGGGCTAAAAAGGCTCCTGGAGCATTCCCATGTCCTCTGTTATTGCATATAGGTGCTGAAGTGCAATGGGGAATAAAATGCCTGATGATTCTCTGTAACTTTGCAGCTGGGTAGGGTTGGTGAGAGGATGATGGACAGCTCTGGCAGGGTGATTGCTTCATGTGGTCAGAGTCTAAGCCTTGATTAGGAGGAACATGTCTCCTGAGTGCGCGTGGTGGGGTCTCAGGTCTCTCCTGCTGCAGTATCTAGATATGCTGCGGTGAAGGTAATCATGTTCCTTCTGGACTGTGTGAGCCACTGTATTCTCCTTTCATCACAGAATATATCCTCCTGTCTCTTCCTTGCAGCAGGTTCTGATTGAAGAGATTCCATTACCTTGCTTGCAGTAATGTACCTAAGGTTTCCTGGACCTTCATTCTTAAGATAAACTATTCTAGAGGAACTTAGGGAGAATACAGTATTCTCCCTGTCATGGAGAAAACCAAATATAGAGATGGGATAGGAGGAGGTACAGAGACAGAGAAGTGAGCAGAAACTTCTTCAGTGGGTGTCAGGGAAGGAGTGGAATTGCTTTAACAGTCAAATGGATAAACAGGGAGAAGCACTGCGTAAAGGCGGAAAGGAAAAAGGATCTGTTAATAACATTTAAGAATATCTGGATGGTTTCTGGACAACCAGGAAGAGGCAGGACAAGAAGTATAATGCCAGCATATTTTGTATGTACAAGAGAGTTTCAGATCGGAGGTTCTAGTAATAAGGGTTGAGTACGGAAAGAGGCTGAGTGGGAAGTTGAGCTGTGTAAGCAAAAAGGAAAATGTGGATCTCAGTTCTCTGCTCATTAGGGAAGGGAGAAAATCAGAATGTTCTCAAGGCTCCATTACGGAGCCAGCCATTCAGACTGATTTACTTGGAGCAGTGCTTAGTACAGATGGAGATGCTTTAGAAGAGCCTAAGGTGATCCCTAAAGAATAGATGTGTGTGAGAGTATGTATGAGATCTTCACATTTTTCTGTTCATTTTTCTATTAATGCTTTATTAAAATCTCAATTTCTAAAATGTTTATCAGTAGTAACAGCTTGATTGAAGCAGTGAGGTTTGCATATGGGTAGAATATGGCAGAAAATTATTGCAGGGGTCAGGCACCATCTGGCCATGATGGGAGAAAGCTGTGAAAGCTTAGATCATGTCTGTCTGCAATTTAACTGCCAGGAGCCAGATTTCCAAATGGTTCATGAGTGTGCCCAGTCACTGCATATGCATCTCAGATGCTATCTGCAAGCCAGCTTTTTTATTTTTATTTTTTTAGGCCTCTTTGCATGCGTAATGTTAATGATGATGTGATTTCTGCTCAGGGAAAAAGTCATTTGGATGAAATGTTGCACTGGGGAGGAGGTTGGAGATGCAGGTAGAAGGAGGCCTGAAAATATGGAGGCTGAGAAAAACAGCCCAAATGTAAAGAGGGTACGTGGAGGAAGCTGCAGTTTTAAAAGCCCCTATTTAACGAGGAGACAAGATAGCCCAAAAGCACCTGTGTGCCCAAAATCCCATTCCAGAGCAGCAGTTTAACAGAGCCCCAGAAATACATGAAAATGGCAAGTCAGGAATTATCAGTGTGAGGGATTTCACTGTTTGTCTATGGAAGTGATTAAGATGTGAATGGCATTAATTGCACATGTGATCCAACACTGTTCTATTGTATTTGGCCATGTCTGTTTCTTGTTTATATTAGTGACTTTAATATTTTAAAAAAAGAAAGAGAAGGGCTAATGGTACTGAGTAGAGGCAGAGAAAACATAGCCAAAGATGAATATAATTCATTTCCTCAAAATGTCTTGTTCTTAATTTTCATCCCCCATTGCTATTCTTTGCCATGGCATCCCAAACAGCCCTGATGGTGATGATTCTCATTCCCAGATTTCCAGGTCCAGAGGCCTGTAACATTTTTAAGTGCCTGTTGCTCTTGAATTCCAGTTGCGTTACCATTGTATTAGTGGATCACTGTGTTGCTGCACATCTAAGGGCTGTGCTTATTGAAAGTCTAACATCATACAGTGTACCTGTAGAGCACTGAGTGGAACAAGATCTTAATCATGTTTTTAAGTGAGCATATTGTAGAAATACAACAATACTGTGGCTTGAGAGAGGCAGCAGGGGAGACATTTGCCAACATTTTGAGCAATTCCTGCTGTAATTTGTGAACAGATTAAGAGAAAGCACATTTCTGGAAAGATTTAATTTGAAGGTGGGAATGGGCACACATGGAAGCTGAGAGCAAAATGATGCAGAGCAAGAAGTGGAGAGACTCCAGAATAGCAAGAAAAAAAAAAAAGATGGGGGGAAAATTCATTGAGTTTTCTCATCAAATAATGTTTGTAAGCCTAATTCCTGGGCTTGTTTACATTTGGTATTAATCTATTAGCTCAGAACCAAGATGAGTTTAAGGTTGTATATTTGGGCAAGAGGATACTTCCCAGGCTGTCCAATGGTTGCCAACAGGTGTTGCATGCTTGGTCATGAATCCTGTCAGACTTTGTGCTGTGCTTTCTGATGTGGCTGTGGAGAGTGATGTGAGCCCTAGGTGAGCA